CATGCATGCCTGTAAACTGCACTTACTGTATTCTTTGACCTTTTCTACAGCCCTCCTTTGCCTGTTTTACTACCAGCAGCAACTGGACAGGGTTTGCAAATTAGTGCCGAGTTGACACGACGGGATGGTCAAATATTTTACAGTTTACTCTTTGAGAACAACTCACAGTTGACACTTGATGGGTTCATGATTCAGTTTAACAAGAACACATTTGGTCTCGCAGCTGCTGGACCTCTTCAGGTTCCACCATTGGCACCTGGGGCATCAGCAACGACCCTACTGCCAATGGTGCTGTTTCAGAATATATCTGCTGGCCCTCCTAGTTCACTCCTGCAAGTTGCTGTGAAAAATAATCAGCAGCCAGTATGGTACTTCAATGATAAAATTTTGTTGCATGTGTTCTTCACTGAGGATGGGAAAATGGAGCGAGGAAATTTCCTGGAGGTAAAAAGATTTGTTTCACAGTTTTCTTGCATGTTTCATGGTTCTTTCACTGAACGAAAAGAAAATATCACTATTTTTAGGAGATGTTCCCGTGTGATCTGATATTTGATTCTAGCAATGAAAAACTATCTCTTACATGTTTTCTTCCCATTCCACAGACCTGGAGGGCACTACCTGATTCAAATGAGATCCTTAAGGAGTTTCCTGGGATTGTGGTGAGCAGCGCTGATGCAACCATGGACAGGCTAGCTGCATCAAACATGTTCTTTATAGCAAAGCGCAAGCATGCAAACCAGGATGTTTTCTACTTCTCTGCAATGATCCCTCAAGGGATACCCTTTTTGGTTGAACTCACGACAGTAATTGGAAATCCAGGTGTCAAGTGTGCAATTAAGACTCCAAACCCTGATATGGCACTGCTATTCTTTGAAGCCTTGGAGATTCTCCTGAAGTCTTGATTTGGAGGATTTGATAATTCTTTTCCCTGTTATAGTTAGATATCAAGAAGTTTTGTCATTGTATGTAGAATCCATCTCTGCCGCTAAAGAGGTTTTTGCTTCAAATTCTTGTTAATCTAATTGTATTTGCATATTTCAGGTTTTTTCTGGTGTCTCCATTTTGGTTAGTGTGTTGTTCTTCTATTAGTGATTTTTTCCCCCCTTCTTTTTTTTTTTTTTTTGGGCAAACACATTTTTGCAAACTGATATTAATTATTTATTAATTCATCTCATTTGTGGAGAAGGATATTCTTAGTCAGTACAATTAATATTCTAAAAAACTAAGTATTTAATTAAGCATTTTATTTATACATATACGCGGTATACATGTGTTTAATTATTTCATTAGTATTACAGAATTTTTGTTATTAAATATATTTAGAAGGTATAATTTTTCTTTTCAATATAGCCACTCAATCACAGAAATTATAAGTTTTTTAATTTTCTTACTCCATTGTTAATTTTAATTATCTATCATAAAACATGGAGTAAATTATAGGCAAAAGGTGCAGATCACCCCCTCAACTCAACAATTGGTGGCAAATCACCCCCTTAACACACTTCACGCGCAAATCAACCCCTCAACTCACCTGCAGTGGCAAATCAGCCCCTCTCTTAACGCTTCCGTTAACATTTAACAGTTCACCATCAGCCGTTCCTCTGGGTCTAACGTAGCCCTTTTTTTGCTGAGATGGAGGTGCCACCTGGAAAAATACCTCAATTCAACCCCAAAATAAAAGCCCATATAACCTGCTCCATTCTTCAACAGCTTAACAACCTTGTTAACCCTTGTTTTGTTCTCTCCGAGGAGCCCAAGCAGAGGTATGTTTGTTTCCTCAATGGAAGCTAAATCAAGTTTATGCTCTTAAATCAGTGATTTTGATGGGTGTTTTGAGGGGTTTGTTGGTGGGTTTGGGGTTTTGTAAGTGCAGATGAAGAAAGGGGAAATCCAGGGAGAGAAGATGAAGAACTGTGAGCTGTGCTAAGGCGCCGCCGGAATATACTGTGAGTCCGACCAGGCGAGTCTGTGTTGGGACTGTGACCGAAAAGTGCATGGCGCGAACTTTCTGGTGGCAAAGCACACGAGGAGTCTTCTCTGCCACTCCTGTCAAAGTTGCTGAATTTGTGTATGAGATTTCTTTGGTTTATGGTGTTTTTGCTCTCTTGTTCTGGGTCTCTTTAGTGGTTTAGACGGTATTTTGAAGTGTCATTACTTGGCTTATGGGTTTAAAGTTGTCTTCTTTTTGTGAATTGAGGTATGAATTATGGAAAAGATGTTAGATTTGCTAATTCTGTGACCTGGGTTGTGCCGTAAATGATTGTTCTTTGGCGTTTGATTTTCTGAGACTTCGTTTT